TATATATAAATATATATAAATGATTTTTTTTTATGTTTGTAAGTACATTCTGTATATTTTTCTGGGTATCTTTTATTGCTTCTGGCTTCAAAACATGCATGTGACTTTCTATATTTGTGAGGTAGGAGCGCGTGGACGACATCCAAAATTGTAGAAAAGTGAGAGAATTCGACTTGCAAAATCAAAATCCAGAAAACAAACCCCAACCCCGTGGTGAGTCCTGTCTTGTTGCAACTGTGGAGCACGCCTTTGTTGTAATTTAAGAACAAAATGGAAATAAAGGACGAAAACAAGCTCTGTTATTATGTGACAGTTAATTTGCAGACAGAAAACGAAAAGAACAAAAAAAAATACATTCCTCCTTTTTGTGTCCTCTGAACAGAACAAACCGCATTGGTGGCAATATTCTTAACTTAATAAAAGCCTTCTTCACGTTTCCTGAAATCTGACTGCAGTGGGAGATGATGATGGTGATGATGTCACATTGTAACGAAAACACAAAGAAATCGAAACCTAGGTGCTATTTTCTCTCTCTTCTGTGGTGCTATGTATTTTTTCTAGTTTTGTGTTTGAAATATGGAAAACTTGTGCTGAGAGTAACTCCATCGCCACCAGCCCCTTTGACTCGCTTGAGCATCCAGTGGTGGTTTATGCATGCCGTTATTTTTTTGTTTGTTTCCCTTACATAGCCACTCTGAGATCAGTGCAGCATGTTATCTCCTGCTTCAGCGGACCACGCAGATAAGAAATGGGTCTGTAACAAATGTTGGAAATGACGAGAGGGATCTAAGATGGTGCTGTTGGCTTTGCGTATCAATGCTCTGTGACGCTGCATTTTTTTTTTTTTTTGATCATGTGTGCCACATGAAACTAGGGTAAAAGATGGACATGTTGCAATTGGGCCAAATGGATACAGTGCAAATTAGAAGGTCCTTCCACCAAAGGTTTTCTTTTCTTTTCTTTTTTTGTTATGGGAAAACAACTCGAGAAACTTGTTGATTAGCCAGATGGAACGGTTTGTTCATGCAGCGTCAAAACTTGCCTATCGGTCTATAATTCTTTTTTTTATTTTTTGCCCTTATTGTAATATTGCTCTTTGTTCAAACTATGCACTCTTTATGCTTATGACCACTAGTATCTACCACAGAATTGTTACAGCTCTTCTTTTTTTTTTTTTTGGCTTCCTTTTTAAAAAAAGAGAAAAAAAATCTTTAAATATGTGACTTGAACCTTTTCTGTTAAGATAACTCAATATGCTTGTAGATCTTTGGCTTTATTTTTCATTTGATGCAGTAAATCCAAATTTAACACTCCGCTCTCAATAATAATTATAATGATTTTTTTTTTCTTAAAAGGACAAACAATTATTTTGTAAATTTCCAGAACCAGCAGTGATGCTGCCATTATTTTCTTTTTTTCTTTTTTTTTTGTCTTTGTTTCATTTTGTAGATTTTCTGTTTGTTTGTTTTTCACAGTTTTGTCAAACCTGTGTAAGGATCAGAGGATAGAAGATATATTGGTTTTTATGTCAATAAATCCAAGTTTACTGTGGCCATCCACTCTTGTATGTCTTTTGAAGCATTAAAACCTATCTGTATGCATGAAATTGTAAAGTTTTTTCTCTTGTTATGATTTTTTTGTAGCGTGGCATGATCTCCGGTCCATGTGTTATTCATCAGGATACGTTAGCTTTTTTTTTTTTTTTTCATTGCTACAGATGGAAAAAAAAAAGAAGAAGAAGAAGAATAAAAAGGTCATGTCCACAATTGTGAAGTGGAGAGAAACTGATGAACTTGTAACTCTACCAAAGCCAATGTTCGTTTGTAGTATATTTATTGTATTATTTAAAATAAAAAAATAAATGTTAAATGATACCATAGTGTAAGTGTAAGAGGCGCCCTCTTTACGTGCAAGGTTATTATTATTTTCCACATGCCATCTATTTTTACACAATATGAGAGCACCTTTTTAATGGAGCCAGGCACAAAGCATTTTGACACATTCATTGAGGCAGCCATGCTTTCTTGTTTACCGAGCTGTGGGCTGTGTGTGTGTGAGAGATTGTGTCCTTAAGGATGTCTGTTTAAGCTACACAACAGGTAAAGTACAATATGTTTTTAATAGTGTAAACAGTTGTAGCTCTACAGATGCTTCACAAAAGGCAAGATCACAGCTGGTGATCACAGCTACGGTCATCCGTGGATTATTCCCTGCTGAGGCCTCAAAGAAAGAACCGACTTCCTTTCTAGGCTTTTTTGTTTGTTTGGGTTTTTTGGACCGAAAATGTGTACATCTATCACTTCCAGCAGATTTTTCTACTTCGCCTTGCAGGTTTTTCAGGACAAGCGGAGGAATATGTGCATTAACCGCTGTGTGTATTTTATGTAAGCCTTCCTCGGTGATCATTATAATAAAGCCTGTCATGCACCACTAATTTCAATAATCTCCAAAGCTTTGATCAAATCTGCGGTGGTGAGGATGACTCGCAGCACTTCAAATGTCTCATTAGGAAGAAAACCTCACACAAGCCTTAGCGCAGCAAAAATAAATAAATAAATAAATAAAAAGTTGTTCTGCATGATACCCGTGATCAATATTTAATGCAGTGTTTACAGGATGGATTTGGGACGATCAGAATGCATGGATTCCACTGAGGCAGCATCCTGGGTGAGTAAAGCAGCAAAGCCAAAGCGAAAAGTTCATTCCTCATTTAAGCTCCCAACTTTTTACAATAGTGGGGATAAGAGGGCCACACATAGGGCCTTTAGATCCCCCCAATTATGGCAATAGGTGAAATGTCAAAGACTGCAACAGCAACACGAGGGTGACAGGCCCTGTGAAACCTTTGTAGGGGTGGATTCAGGATGTGGTGAGATTTGAAATGGATGCAAGGATGGATTTGGGACATGCAGATGCGCTTGAAGCAATGCTACAGACCAGGAAGTGCATAGTGAAAGAAATGTAACACCAAATGTTGAGGTGTGCTGTTTAAGATGCAAGCAGCTCAGGTCAATCAGCTCAGAGAAATTTTAAGAAATACTCTGACACTTGGGTCTTCTACGTAGGTAAGATACTCAAGCAATAATATAAACTATACTAACTTAAAAGTAAAACTACTTACTTCATGGTAAAGGTAATTTCACCTTTTTTGTGCCATGTTAGCTTGTGTCCAAGAAGCTCAGAGGGAAACTTCTTCTTTTTTGTAGTTTAAAGGATCAAAGCTGAAATGTAAGTAAAATAAAGTCCCATCAGCCCTTCTGCACACTTTGTGCTCGCTTCGCTCCACCACGCATTTACCCTGACTGTCAGCGCCGTCCCTGCAATGGCTCTCTGTCCCACCAGGGGGGTCAGCTTCACAGTTTGGGAACAACTGCTTTACTGAAACTTCAAGCAATTCACTGACATTTGAACCAATTACACTCTGTTTTAGTTTCCATTGTTTCTTCTCTTGGCTTGTTGCAAGACACAAGCTTGTCACTGTTAAACAGTGATACCACAGTTCTAGGATTTTCTGTGGCTTTTGAGTTTTAAATTCATATTTGACTTAATTATTATTCTAGTACAGTTATTTTGGTATTTTTGGACTTGTTTTGATTGTAAAATTATTCTTCTTTCTGTTTTGCTGTTTTCCCATTGTGTCCAAACTGATTTCCCTCTGTTGTGTTTGTGTGCTTATGCCTTCTGTGCTTCACTGTCTGTGATTGAGTTTAGGCTAGTCTTCAGCATCTGTTGTTTTTCTTCCTTTTATTGTGATTGTGTTTATTGTTTTCACTTTTTGTTAAAGTGAGCATCGGGATGGAAAAGAAAGGTGATTTAAGTGACTGAACGCCAAATCGTTGTTAACGACAGATGGACTGTTCTAAATATTTAAGAAACTCCTGAGCTACTGGGATTTTCCTGCACAACCATCTCTAGGCTTTACAGAGAATGGTCCAACACAGAAAACAATATCCAAGACAATGGTAACTCAAACAATCACAATGCAGAAGAGCATCTTTTGAATACACAACACATCAAACCTTGAAGCAGATGGGTAACAGCAGCAGAAGTCCACATCGGGCACAGTTTGCACAGGCTCACCGACAGACAGACATGTGGAAATGTATATATAGTCTAATCCTGCTCTTGAATTCCTGGTGTATTTTATGTCATCCTCTTAGTTGGTTTTACTATACATTCCTATTGTCTTATTTTCATTATTGATCTTTTTGCTTTGCCAAATCAGGCCTTTTAGTTTCAAAACCTGTCCTCCGTCTCATGACACATAGGCTTATACTTTATATTGCCTTTCTTTAGGAGAAATATGGGCAACTAATAGTAATATTACAAAGATTTTATCTTTAAAATACGCCTGATGCCCATGCTCTATAATGGTAATGCAGCACAACATATTTAGAGTCTTGTATGAATCTGATAAATAACTGACGCTTATATAAGATGTATGGAGTACAAACTATTTCATATTTATTCT